TTGTAGGCGCTCGTATCAGTCAGCTGAAATAGAAAATTATATTATGCAGGGGTGACAATCTTTCTGATCACCCTATAGATTACCGATTTTATCTAAATAATTAACGGAACAAAGATGAAAATTAACTTCAAAAATTAAAATCTTGCTTAGGACAATAAAAGATAAGAAGGTTCAAGGAGACGTAATGGCCAACATCCTGAAAAGAACAATGGCGTATAAAAAAAACAAAAAACGCCTGTGTGACAAATTACCCAAAATGTCTTTAGAGGAGTGACAAAACTCTATCGACAGGATACAATTGAATGACCACCTCATTCTTAAATATTTAAATCTGCACCTTACATTTTCTGTTCGCTTTTTTTCAAGAATGCATTGAATGAAAACTCGAAGAGTCGAGTACAAATTCCAGTCGTTGCATTCACTTACGCGCAAACAACCTTGGGAAAATATGGAATCCATCTCTTCCTCTCGCAGTGCTTCCCAATTTTCTTTTCTCTGGACATCATTTTCGGAATAAAAATTTGCATGCTTCTCACAGAATTTTATCTGATAAAAAGCACATTTTAAAATAAATAAAAACAGACAGAGGGTTAAAGAGAAATAACCGCGAACTCGAAGTCAGATCAGAACATTATCATTGATAACTCTCTCCTCCAATTTGCAGACTGTCATGGTTCGGTTCCAGGCAGAACCAATAAAGATGAACTCGAACACAGGTATGGAATAACACAGATATATTACAAACAGGAATATATACAGAGAAGTAGAAAAGTGTTAGTACGAACAATCAGGTTTAGTAGTAATTGTCTGAACGCGACTTTGTTTCGGACAGCCTCTGACTGACTCCTGACAGACTTCACTCCTGACTTCAGACTGAACTCTAGACTTCAGACTCAACAGTATTTAGTCACCCCGCCCCACGAGGGCATCATATGGCACAGTATTTATTATGTAAGGAATAGTCCATTATGTTATTATGGGTAAGGTCCCATAAAACAGACCCTAGTTACTATATTCTTAATACGTGATATAATGCAAAAATGTCACAATGAAAAAATTGGTCAAAAATTATTTATAACTATTTATACGCGGACACGTTCATGCAGTTACAAATAATCCATAATATTTTAAATTTTGAAATCATATTTATTTTTGGCATATGAATTTTTTGAAACTTTTTGTACATCTTTGATTGTTGTTCAATGATTCCGCCTCGTCTGCTATCCTCTTTCGCCTCACCTGCTATCCTCTTCCGCCTCGCCTGCTATCCTCTTTTGCCTCATCTGCTATCCTCTTCCGCCTCGCCTGCTATCCTCTTCCGCCTCGCCCGATATCCTCTTCCGCCTCACTTGCTATCCTCTTCCGTCTCATCTACGAGACGCGCCGCGCCGTTTGGGAATCACTGAGCTATTGCTTAGATAATTGGATTTCTAACTGAAAAAAAAAATCAATGTTATAGGTACACGTTCTTCCCTTTTCTTTCTAGATAGTCTGAGTCAGCACGCAAAAGAAAGGCTCGCCGAACCACATGACAATGACAATGACAAATGAACTCTATAGATAGTTGAGTTATGTGAGTGTAACGTCTTCTGTAGAGAGAGTGTTCTAAGATGCTGATGGTGTATTGAGTATTTGATTCGTTGCCTGGGAACTAATGACCCAGTAGAAATAATGCGAACCCGAAAATATAATCATTAATAAAAAACTTACAAATCCAAATATTAGGATAATTACGCATTTTCTTTTGTTCTTCTTTTTATGCGCCGTTATTTTTTAGGATGTTAATCCTGCCAGGTATGTCATGCGTTCCTTTCGCTTGTCTCTTTTCTCTCTATTCGACCTGTGAGTATCAGATTCTGAAGGCCCCCCTTTAACATTACGTGTCCCAGAAATTTCATCTGCCTCTTATATTAAGTATAAGCATCCTCTCCAAGACCTCATTGTTGCTCACACGCTCGCTCCATGATATCCTTAGCATCCTTCTGTAGAACCACATCCCCGCTACCTCGAGTTTCTTCGTTTTTGAAAAGACCGTTCAACATTCGCTGCCGTATAGGGGGACACGTGTCACGTAGCAGCTCAGTACTCTTTTCTTTGTCACCAAAGAAATCCTCCTGTCTCGCAAGACTCTATCCAGCTTTTGGAATGCATCCTTGGCCATCCTAATTCGTCTTTGGATATCAGCGTCGCGCCTACCGCCCTCCATGAAAACACTTTCCAGATATTTATACTTCCGCACATGCTTTATTTTACTGTTCCCGACCTACATATGTCATTTCGGGCTTATTCTTTTATAGATGACCATGCATTTTGTCTTGTAGATTGTGGTTAGTCTCATCTCCTTGCTCTCCTTCGCTACCTTCTGTAGGAAGTTTCTTTTCCATATCTGCTATTTACCGCTTTGAATTATTGGCTGATATGAATGTTAAGAAACTGCGTTTAGAATTAGCTTATATTCACTTCTATCCGACAGTGGGTCGTTTATAATGCATTTAAGAATTTAATTTAAAAAACTCACACAGAGAGAATTAAAATTTCTTAAAACCTTTCAGTTGTGAACCGAATACAGAGATTCAATATACGCAACTGTGTTTTAACTAAGAATGCTAACCTTCCATTTTCGCATTGCATTGTAACAGGCGATGAAAAATGCGTTTTGCATGTCAACAGAAAACGAAAAAAAGACGACGGTTATCATCAAATGAGGAACCAGTTTCAACATTAGAAGCAGGAATCCATCCATATAAGTATCTAGTGGAATATTAAAGTGTCGTTCACAATGAAGTATTGGAACATGGAAGGACCATTACTGTAGACGTTTATTGCCAACAAGTTGATCGCGTAATCAGTAAAGTTGTTATTATCAAGTATAGAAAAAAATAAGATCGTTAGGTTATTTGTTTATTCTCGATCTTCCATACTAAACAGATTTGCCACTTACAAATTTCCGCGTGAACATTGCATAAGTGGCAGAAAATTTAGACAAAAAGAAGTTGTACGGTATTTACAGTTTAAGATGTAGAGGGTGGGTTTAGGTGTCAGCTGGGGGAGTGATTGGTCTCGAAAAGAGAAAAAGGAGTAACAATCTGGTAGCAGAATATAATTGATAACAATATTAATATGCCTCTGTTATTATCAAAAAAAAAAAAAATTATGCGACATAATCCATAATATTTTAAATTTTGAAATCATATTTATTTTTGGCATATGAATTTTTTGAAACTGTTTCTATATCTTTGATTGTTGTTCAATTATTCCGCCTCGTCTGCTATCCTCTTTCGCCTCACCTGCTATCCTCTTCCGCCTCGCCTGCTCTGCTCTTCCGCCTCGTCTGCTATCCTATTCCGCCTCACCTGCTATCCTCTTCCACCTCGTCTGCTATCCTCTTTCGCCTCGCCTGCTATCCCTTTCCGCCTCGCCTGCTATCCTCTTCCGCCTCGCCTGCTATCCTCTTTCGCCTCACCTGCTATCCTCTTCCGCCTTGCCTGCTATCCTCTTTTACCTCATCTGCTATCCTCTTCCGCCTCGCCTGCTATCCTTTTTCGCCTCACCTACTATCCTCTTCCGCCTATTTCCCTTGGAAAAATGGTAAATTGGAAAATAGTTTAGTTTGGAAAGTAAAAAATGGCTATTGCTGTCCTCCTCACGTTGATTTGGAAAATGTAAGGAATCATTATTTGAGCAAGGCTCAGAAGATGTCAATCAGGAAGATGGTTTAGAGGCAGTGCTTGCAAAAACTGACTCCATTTTCGTGGAGGATGCAAACCTTTCAGCATTTGGGAGTCATTTTCTCAAACGTTCTTTGTCTGCCAAAGTTTCAGCAGACAATTTACAACTGTAACAAAACGCTACTTATGCTGAAATTTAAGAGTCTCATCTTCATTCGTGAACTTCGGACACCGACCGCCTACTGTATCTTGAGTTTATACTTGATTAATTTTACGACCTCTCCGAGAGACAGCGTTGCCAA